ACAGCAGCACAGCTGCGACCAAACGGAACCTCATCGCTGCGGACTGTAGACTACCTACCTGACGCGTACCGTTTATACTGGATTAAGTCCGCCGGACGCCGACGACACACGGAGAAACTACTCCTATTTCAAAATAAAAGCCTGAAGTGAGGTTTGGGTCGATCTCGTGACTTCGTTAGCAACGATTTACGAAAACATTGATTTTATTTAGAAATATATTTTAGGAAGCAGTTTTGAGAATGCCTAGTGCTGTTTCTCCTGGGAGTTGTAGTCATTTTAAATAGTCATAGGACAACAGTGGTAATTATGCCATGTTTTTAAATAGTCATAGGACAACAGTGGTAAAGTTAAAAGATGAGAGAAAGTATTTATATTTGAAAACGTATTTTAAATACACACCTCATTAGACTGATTTTTTCGGCTTTTCCACAAGTTGAACATAAAATACCACACATAAAGTAGATTTTGCTCTTGTTTCCCAACCATTATATCGATTATTCTAGTTGTACCGTATATGCACATTAATTTCTGCCATCAGCATAACAACTGGCACAGGGTCTTCTGTTTTCCATTTTGCACATTTGTTGGCAAGACGAAGAGATGTTAAGTTGTGCATAGCTGTGTTCAGGGTGCCAGATCAAGAAAACTGTAGGAAATCTGGTGGACATTATGCCATGTTCATTTATTATTTGTACATGCTTAATGTGACATTCACACATCACTTTACTGCTGATGAAGTTTGATAATCTGAGTTTATCTTGCCCCGTTATATATGTACGGAAACAACGTACCTACTTCTGGGCTACTATCTTCTGCTTGGGGGGTAAAGTAGCCTATAAAGAGGCACACCAAATTCACATCAATAGATCGTCTGTTTCACATGCTCAGTGAATTGCTAGAATACTAGGAGATGCATTAAATTCATCGAAGGAAAAAATTTAGGATCATATATCGTAATTATGACTTACGATATCAATATTACGAGACCTTTTCACAAATAAGTCAGAACTACAAAGGATCCTCCAGTTTTCTTCGGCTATTGCAATGTACTTCCGCTTGGCAACCCTTTCAGACTGCTATAGTGCAGTACATCCAGCGCCCCAACCAGCTAACAATTCGCTGGGTAGTTTTTATTCCTTTACTGATTAATATAAAACCCATTTTATCTGTCACACTACATCCTCTCCGCTAGAGGAAGCAGCACGCCTAGCACCAAGTCTTAAGGAATATTGGCAATTTGTTGCTCCAATCAAATTAGACAACGTTGGACATCTCAGCCAATCAAATAATAATATTTAACCTTCGTAGGCGGGATCATAAGTGGCGTTCAGCCTGTCTCTATCAGGTATCGAGGGAAGTAGTATCCACTACTGCTGTCGTTTCGGTCCTTCAAAAATATTGATGTACCGTTAGACTTGAAAATCCTTAAATTAATATTTGCTCCTCGAAGCCACGTCTTCGGTATATTACTATTTTTTCTCTTCAGGTAAGACTGAATTCAGCTGTAGTTAGCGTGTATGTTAATGGTCATTACAACAACAACAGCCGGCTAGCTGCTTATATTTTTTTTTTAGCTAATGTGAACTTATATCTAGCTGAAAATGAGACATTGGGCAGACGTTTTGGGGCAGAGTTTAGGTCAATCTAGTGCTGCGCAGAACCTCTGCTGTTGTTTATGTTTATGACAGTCATCAGTGCCCTTCATATGCGTTGCTAAAGTACATCTGGACACTGTTCCGGTCTTCCAAAGCCCAGTTTCAGTGCATGTGTCCTTGGGTGTTTCCTCAGGCATCATGGGCGAGGTGGAACTGTCCTGCCGAGCTTACGTGAAGATGTACCTGCACGCCTGTCTGTTTCCGCGGTGCAGCATCAACGGGCTGTTATTGTCGACTAGCTCGGCAAATGGCGCTGTTTGTGTGACAGACTGTGTACCGCTGCTTCACTCCCACCTGCCCCTGGCCCCCATCACCCAGCTGGCCCTGACACAGGTAGGACACCTGCTGACAGGCGTAGTGCACACTTTGGCGTACTCGTGGTTGGTTGAATCATAGTCTGAATCTGCACCTGGTTTGGCTAAAGCCAGCTGAGTATAAACGTGATTAAAATTAACACATATGTTAAACTTTAATTTGTTGTAGGATTTTAGATTTAGATTTCTGTCTAGGTATCTGTTTTACTGGACAGGTGGTCAGAATAAAACATTCACTGCAGTTGCAAAATAAATAAGGATAATAATAATTATTATTACAGCATCTCTAGAAAAATAGAAGCAGTGCTCCCATCCTCTGGAATCTACCTGACTTTTTTATTATTAAGTCAAAGTTCAGTTTCTCCAGAGGCAAAATGGGATCATTCTGAGCCAGACACTTTTCAACAGATGGGATTCATGATATGAAATGTAAAATACATTAGAAGGGTTGTCATACAGAATTAATCTCAGTGGTAAGATTACAACTTCCCAGAGATTTGTCATCAGAGAAAATTGTGCTCTTGATGGAAAAGGTTCAAGTTTTCATTTAATTTAAATGATGTTTTAAAATGACCATCCGTCTTCGTTTTTCAGGTGGATGTGTGGTGTTCACAGACCCAGCAGAGGATAGTGGGATACTATCAAGCCAACGCCTGTGTATCAGATAGTAGGTGGGTTTTCCAGACCATGATTTCACTCAGATTGTCACTCTGTTTCAGCTTACTAGATGTTTTCTGAATTGTGAGTTTGTTAAATTCAAAATAAATTTCACTATCTGTCAAATGTGAGCTTTACCAGTCTTTTTTTTAACTTCTCCAACAGCCCCACGCCGTGTGCCCTGAAGGTAGCTGATAAGATTGCAGAGCAGTTTGACAATGCAGTTTTGTTAATGGTTAGTATAACACAAACAAGATTTGAAATAACACGACCCCCCTGCTGCACTGATTCATATGAGAAGTGGAGCAGTGAGTTGATTAATCAAAATGTCTGTTGATGCTAAAATAATCATTGTAGTTTTTTGCTGTTCTTTGTTTAACATAGTTTTTTTATATGGGCTTTTAAGGCATGACAATAGGCTCTGATTACATTTTATAGTTTTAGATATTTGCTTAATGATTGATTTATTAATAAAACATTTGATGAAGCTGTTAATCATTTGTATATGGCCTGTTTGTTGCTCCACAGCTGGATGGTAGCAAGATGTCTCCAGACTATCGAGTTCCTCCCATTGTGATGTATGAACGCAAAGATTCAAGATGGATGCTTAAAGATAAACACACGTAAGAGACAGCTGATGGGCCGGAGTGTGTCTTTGTGTTTCGAGTCTTTCAGGCTGTACAACATTGCACCGGGCTTTAATAAAAGTCTTAAAAATCACAGAATTTAGTTTCCTCAAAAAGACCCGTGAAAACATTAAAATGTCTCAAATTTAAAAGTGCCTTAACTTATTGCACTAACTAACCCAGTGACAGTGGGACAGGACATGGTGTCTCTCAGCTAATCATGTGCAAACAAGTTTTTATCATGTGGGAACAAGTTATCTTGTGTGCATGATTAAAAAAAAACAAACTCCTTTCTGTGCCAATGTGATTTTTCTTTCTGTCCTGTTCAGGATAATGCTGAGACAGTGGGAGGAGACCCGGGTCATTGCCGGCCAGATGCTAGAGTCGGGCGATCATATGCAGCTGGTGGATTTTGACAGCCACTTGGACGACATTACAAAAGACTGGACCAATCAGAAACTAAACACCAAGATAGCAGAACTTGCCTCGCCGGCCAATGGGAACATCTAGATTGAGAAGTAGCACCAGTTTGTTTATGTTCTGACCTGATGCCGTTGTCGTGTACCATAGATGTATACATGTACGTAGATGTTCCGTGAGCCACTACTATTCATTAGAATGGCATGTCAACACAGCTGCCATGTTGGTACAGGGATGCAGTCTCCTAATCAGTCTTGGAGGTCTGTCCACAATAAGAACCATCATTTGATGAATTCACAGCTGATTTTCCACCCATTTGGTTCGATACAAACCCTAGACATGTCCTTAAGATACAGGACACTTGGTTACATTAAACGTGTGGATTTTCATATCAAAACACTTAATGATTTGTAGATGATAACACTAATATTTCCACAATATTTAAGACCAACTAACCTTGAGTAATAATTTTTTAAACATTTAATTTTATTTCTCACTGCAGTGTAAAATGACCATCATTTAAACTAAATAACAAATAATTAATTGGACATTTTAAAAGTTGTTACTTAACATCATGGATGGATTATGAGACAGAGGGCCCCTGGGCACAGAGAGGATAAATGCAACTCCCACCCCTCCTTCATAGGACCCCCATACGCAGACGATCACATTGGTTGTAGTCGTTTTGAGCAGGTTGTCTTTTGCTTTTGTCGTATTTCCTCTTTGTGGTCATTTTTCAGCAGTTTGAAGTAATTTAGTGTCTTTCTTTGTGTTTGTTTTATGTGTTTTAACTGAGCTCTGACCTTCAAATTTGAAAGTTATCGCAGAGACCGACCCAATGACCTCTGACCTCTCAGGCCCATCCAGTAATCCACCCATGTTCAATACAATGACAGAGCTGACTGATAAATATAAGTTTCAACATCTGATGTATTACTTTTATAAGACTACAAAGCATTTTTCTTCAGTTGATACTGAGATGAACATTATGTTAGCTAAAGAGAAGCATTACTTACTGTGATTGACTGGACAGCGTCTTGGTTTTGGCATTTCTTTCATCAGAATCCAAAAACCACAAATATCTGGCACTGTCTACTATTTGAATTGATCACAGGTCACTGCCCCTGATGCGATATGGCGGCCAGATGAGCTGCATCTCCGTGTGTGTGTATATATATATCTAGGGTCGTGCACACCTGTGATTTTTAAGACCAAACAACCACACAGGAGTGTAGGATTGTTTATTTTTAACAGGGTTGTGACATAGAACATGCATAAATAAAACAATTATAGTCTGGTGGATCTCTGCAGTCCTCCACCACCTTGTGGTCCAATACCCTGCTGACTTAAATCCACACTAAGAAACACCTTAGGGCTGCAGTACAGTTCAGTTTCTTGAAGCAAAAAAGGTTCAGCTTCTGCCAGACTAGCAGGTGGACAGTCAAGTTTAAGATGGCAGTTTGTTGTTAAGAGGCTGCATCAGGAGGTTGTGATCATGATCATGTTCACTTTAGATTGTTTCACAGAGGTGCTGACTCGACTGTGTGACCAGTTTGTGCTGCAGTTTATTTTTAGTGTTTTATGTACTGAGCCGTTTGTTATTCAGCCTGGCCTCATTGACATAAGTATGGTAGACAGTAACGTACAAACACCTGTGGATATAACACAATACAGTTCAACAGCAGCACAAACATCTTTCAAAATGATCATACCTCAAATGGAACATTATCACCTTCATGAAGGAGGGTTTATAATAGAACTGTTGTATTAGTCTTAGTGACATGTACCTAATACACTGACAAGACCCTCAAATGAACACTTGAAAGCACCAGTTTATCTCATTAAGTTTTCAGTTTGTATGACTTAAAATTCAGGCAGCACCAATATGTCACTTTGTGCCTCTCTGTACGTTGCCTTATGTCACCTTTATTATTGAATTTGAATTATTTGAATTTAATTGAATTTGAATTATTTTAAAGCAGAAGCATGGTTCATAACAGCCTTTTGTAATTTACATGACCATAGCACTTGCCTGAATTGCAGTAGTAGCAATCTCTACAAAATCATGTAATATTTAGAAGGAAATGTTTCATTAAATTGTGCTAACTTTTTCCATAAATATCAAAGTGCAGTTGGAAAGAGGAACAGTGATCCACATATAAACAGGATATTTGCTTTGACAACACCCACTTCCACCTTAAAACGAGCACCGAGTCCTACAAACACCTGCCTGTCACATCAAAAACCCAGTATTTTGCACTTCAGCTGACTGTATTTAGTGCAGATGTCTCTCTTCCTTTGTTGACCTCTTATAATCCGTGACGCTAGAGCAGAAATTGTTTTACAACTATTAACATGTTTAAAGCAGTGAAAGAATTTAGTGCAACTCTCAAAAGAAGTAGTTCACACTTCATCTCTGCAGGTAAAGTTTAAGTGGACGTACATTTGTAAATTAGTTTGCCACACGAGGATGGGGCACCGCTTCAACCCATTGATCACAGGTCACAGCCCCTGATGCAGCGCAGGCCGCACCATCTGGCTCAACCTTTATTGATTAAAAGACAAGCTTTAACCCACATTTGTAAATGTATTTATGTCTGTGTTTGGCAGTGCCACGTCAACAGGAAAGTAAACATCTGAGCTGGTTTTCAGTAGAATTACAGCCAGAGGTACTGCAGGACATTTGTGCTCTCTGCTGCTGCTGCTCTGCTCAGCTGGTTTCATTACAGCTACAACTTTACTAACGGCCTGTTTACATTTATTCTACACAAAGTCTGACATCTATGGACATAATGGAATAATATGAAAAGTTAAAACTAAAAGCCAAGGTTTCTATAGTGCTGTCGTACAAACATAATTATCATCAGTTGCTAGAAGTAATGGTTCCCAACCTTTTAATCTTGTGACCTTTTAAAATGAAGCAGGATCTATGACTGGCTGTATTTCAACCAGCTGTGGCAAGTACTTCTGAAAAGTCTTTAAAAAGACTGTCCAGTAATTTACATCGAAAATAGCAAAGATTAGAGAAATGTCTGAACATTTAGCACAATTTTGCAAAGCATAAGCTTCCCCCCCCCCCCCCTCCTTTAATGCTCTGTAAATCATTTCGTGACCCCTGGGATTGTTGGGGTACCGACCCATGTGTTGGGAACCACTGACTTCAGATTTGCACATTACATTTTTAAAGACTTGCTATCGGTTTCCATGTAGTGCTTCCGGTACATGAGACCAAAGAGCTCAACGTCCATTTTCTGGATACAAAAGTCCAATTTCTAAGTTTGCTATTTGATTTCCAGTCATTAAGGCTCTGTCGCCAACGTCAGGTGTTTGAAGTGATGTTTTATGCCACTGCGTCTGTTAGCGCTGAGCAGTGGGTAGAAGCTGGAGGCTGTTGTTTTGATCAGACGTCATTTGGGAAGAATTCCAGCTCCAATCTGTTGTTCTCATCCGGACAAAGTATTGTTTATGGCCTAATAACAGTAATTAGAGATGAACCTGTAGACACATTGCTCAGCCCTAGTGGTCACATGTTGTAAGGTTTAACTTCTGCACAGACACCAGTCACTGTTGCCCAGCGCTTAGACAGTCCCACAGGTGATCATGTCAGGGGTCGGGCGAAGGCACGGCGACCAGCTCCAGAGTTATTTCTTCAAGTGGAGACTGATTGGCCAGAGACTGCAGGAAGCTGATGGACTGTAAGAATGTCTGAGCGTTCTGCACCTCCTGCTCTGCACAGGGCAACGTTATCTGCAGAGGAACAAACAGTGGGTTACTGTCACTACTGGAATCTCCAAGATTTTTCTAAAAAAAAAGGTCCATGCAATTTGGTGCTAATTATAAGAGAAGTGCTAGCTTTTATGTACTGCTCATTATGTTTGATTTGAAGAAGACCATAGTAAATTATGTCATAGGTAAGTGACAGCTGTTCATAAACAGGCATTAGTCCCCTAGAAACACCATCACAACTGTTGTTGATTTCAATTATTCATGAATTTGAACTGCCAAACATTTAACTAGTTAATTGATGAGTTCACTTAACTGATGTTTAAAGCCAAATCCAACTTAAATGTAGCATAAACATCAATTAAATGAAAATGTACCCAGTGGATTCATGATGGGTGGGGGTTTAGTTGGTCGCTGATGTATTTTACTAAATATGTAACTGTGTTTTCACATGTAATGCTCCAGTTAATCAGTTGTAATAATCCTGGTCTGTGCCTCTGAAATGACAGTTTTAGCCCAGGAGCATAAACTAATACCTGCTGAAACTGACCATGTGACCTGCAAACAGGAAACAACACCTTTACAAAATCATTCATCAGAATGGGTTCATGTGGTGATTCAGCTCTAGATATGACAACAGATAAACACCAGGGTTTCTTGTTCACTATGTTTCTAAGGTGTAGTCAAATGTAAAATATAGTTTGACACTGCACTCACTGACAGTTTCAGAGATGTAGAGCCCTATTTTGCATCAAACGCATGGAGGGCAATTTCCTACCTGCGCACGTATCGTTTTCATGACGTGCGCATCACGTTGCTTTTTAACAAAGCAGCAGTCTGTCGACTTCGTGCCGGCAGGTGTGTCCAGGTAAATTTTGGGCTTGTTGGTAATATGAGGGCACGCAAAGTGACTGCGCCACTGAGCAGCACGAACCAAGTCTGTGGTCAAACCATCTTTGCAAGGTGCTCGTTATTCCCTGGGATGTGCACATCAATATATATACATTTATAATAAATACAATCTTGATTAGTGACTGTGCACCTTCACCTCACGCATGAGCAGATTCATTTCCTCAGAAGAAAAACTTACTGATTGTCGCCACCAAACGTTCAAATCTCTTAACGGGGATGTGAGGTTACGCACTGATTAGATAATAGGATGTTACGCCTAAAACACACACCTGCTTTAATGAGCCTGATCGAATACAGCCCTTTTGCTACTTACACGGCGCTCAAACTGTTTTTCCTCACTGTCAGATCACCTGAATGAACACGCACACAACCCAAACACGACGTGCGCCAGTACATCTTGATCAGAAGCCGTGGATCTTTAAAACAGGGTGGTGTTGATGGCAGGTCGTAGTGCCGCTCCAGAAACTCCACGAGATGGCGACAATCAGCATTTTCAGCCAAGGAAATGGGTTAAGTGGAAGTGTTTAAGAGGAGTGAATGTGGGAGGGTTTGGCTGAAGCTATTATTTGTTAATAATTTTCCACTTGCAGCAGGAGTCAGATGTGGCTTTTAAAAGGGGAAATGTTACATAACCTATTTGCAATGCAAATGCATACATCCCATGTCAACAAGTTTATCTTTGATATCCAGACTCTGTTTGCAAAGTAAATACTTTCAGTTTGAGATGCACTGGAGCAGGGTTGCTCTCCTATGAATTTGTTGGTTTACTTGTTTATTGTTGCATCTTTTTGAAATATTCTGCTGAAGGAGAATGAAACAGTGCAGGTGAAAATACTTGTTGGGTGGTTGAGAAATGCCAAAGCCAGAATAGAAAATGTTCAAATTGAGCAGCTTTGAGACAGCCCTGTGTGGTGGGAAAAGTCAGGCTTTGATGAAGGCATCTTGTGCAAAGAACACCAGTTAATACATTTTTAGGCAAGTAGCCTGAAAGTGATTTAACCTAAACCGTGCTGAAAGTAAATGCACCTTTACCTGAACAATGATGAGTTTTGTGGAGGGGTCTTCCCTGTTACTCAGCTCTTCTCCGAAACACATAGTGATGCCACACTGAGGGGGCTCGCCGCCGTTTGAACGGTAGTGCTCCAGTTCTGAATGTGAGGAAAGAAAAGGTTTTACTGTGCTGAGATTAACAGCCCTGAAAATCAGTTAAGAACTGAGCTAATGTCACTGTTCTCAGATACACAGGTTATATTTTTTTTATTAATAATAAATTTTGGGAAAATGCCCATTGCATTGTGCAGCAAATCGTCCCTGACCAGCAGCTGGTGAATATTGGACATTTTTGCTTGATGAGTAAATGAAAATAGCTGTAGATTCATTTTCCATAGGTCTAACTGAAATATGCCTCCTTAACCTGGAGGAACAACTTGAACCGTGGAGACGTTATCGGGCCATGCTGACATACCCTCAGCTCAGTTCTGCTAACCTGGTTAGTAAGAAACCAGGTTCTGTGTTAAAATAATCTAGTCGTCTTCTGTCCAAGATATATTTATGATGCCTTATGTGCATCACAGACAGAACACTCGGTGTGGAAGTGGCAGTCGTACTAATGTTTGACTCAAACTGTGCAGGAGAAGCTTCAGGCTCTCAGAGATTTGTTAGTCTTGACTTGAACACTCACGTTGTTTGAAAACATCTTTGCTGAACAGCAGCACTGGCTCTGCGTTCCTTTCCATCTTGTGCAGACCCGGCATGGTCGTATGTGGGCCCGTCCAAAAGACCCGCCCTTGGCAGAACCTCTTGCCGTAGACTCCCTGCGCTGTGGAGGTCAGCACCACCCCTTTCTCCATGAAGGGCAGCAGGGTGAACAGGGCCTGTAGCTCCGGGCCAGCCGGAAGCGTGGGGGGCGGCTCCGGCAGTGGGATGCGTGGGAACCTGCCTTTGAGGGCGGATGGTGTCGGGGGAGTAAGAGAGGAAGGCAAGTACATGATCCGGACATCTGTGCCCTGGATGTGACGTTTGAGGACCTCCTGCCCTAAGTAATGAACTGCAACACGAAAGGAGTCCTGGACTGGAGACAGAAACAGACAGGATGTTTGACCTTTCAAAATAAAAGAGAAACCTGGATCCAGTCAAGATAACTGACAGAGCAAAATCTAAAAAATACAGTAGTTAACCGGTCCTAAAACCCTCTGGATCGATTTCTGCAGAAGACTGATTGTCTTCTACTCTAAATGATATGACTGCGATATAAAATGCACAGCTGAACATACAGTCACCTCCTCAGCTGTGAATGCTGTTCAGTTTCTTACCTGCTGCAGGAGCAGGGACGCTCTCCTCGATCCGCACGTCCAACCTGATCTCATCAACCACTGCAGAGGGGAAAAAGAGGGTTACAGAGAATAATGTCATTAGTTGAATGAGGGGTCAGTTGTGTGTGGGATGCTAAGGTAGTGCACAGTAACCTCAAACAAACAGGACACGTTTAAGGGGAACCAGTATATTCAGGAAATCCTAGTCACCTGGTTACTGTAAATCCTGGTATATATGCACCAGATCATTGATCTGATTTTTCCCCTGACCTTATTTTGGAAACACAGCAGTGAGTAAACAAGCTTTACTGCACAAATCTAATTTTTACAAAACGGCGGAGACCAAATTATGTATAGAAGCTACTCTAAAGCTGCAGTGTGGTGTGAGGAATGTGCATCATTGTGTGTAATGATCTGGGGTTTTATCCCCCTGTTCTCCCGTCTCAACGTTCCCCTGTGGAAGTGCATCCCTGCCACATTTGAGGGCGCACAAACCAGAATTCGAGCGCTACTCAATTTGCAACTCAGCATTTGAGAGTACAGGTGCACAGATTTGTAAGAGCAGTTTGGTGGGGATTTACCTCCACAGTACCCAGGCTTAAGTCTTTGTCCTGCTCATATGGATGTACATATGAAGCTAGTTAGAAACTCAGCTACGTGTGCACATTACCAAAATAAACTCTGTCTCCAGAAGAAATCCACCAGGAGAAACCAGGTTTCCCCGTGGGCCCTTATCTTTGCAGGACAGCCTAACTCTATACCCACAAGTTGTATCAATGTACCAGACAATCTGTTCAGTCGTGTCTGCTGTGGCGCTGTTGAACAGCACAACTCACCGTGTCTTATTATAGTGGTGTTGTGCTGAACAGGCTCGTCTGCGTGGACGTCACTGAGCAGCAGAGCGTCTTCACTGAGACTCTCGCACTGAGAAGCAGAAAGATGGCAGCTGAGATTTTTGTTCTCACTCACAAAAACAGAAAGTCTGTCTGTTCTTAATGAAGGAGCCAAAGGAGAATATTGGTAGTCTTTCTCCATTTCTTCAGTTTGCGTCTGGCCTGCTAGCAGAGGTTCTGAATGAGACTTAGTTTGATGGTCCTCTGTTTAAGACTGGTGGCTTTAAGACTTGTATATAAACAACTTATGCTAATAATGACAAAACAATAAGGAATTAAATGCACCAAAAATGACATAAGTAAAACCTTCAGAAACCTCTGGCTTATCTGACTGCCTTTAACATGCAAACAGTTGGACAGAAAGTGTAGTCGGCCTCAATCTTTTTTTTTTTTAGCTCAATGCTAACACGCTAAAAGGAAAAGTGAATTTGCTATCAAAAGGGCAAATCAGACTCGGCTCATCAAGATTTTCCCTGTTTCAAGCTGTCTTTTATTTTAAAAAGACGCTGACTCACCAGCTGCGATGTGACGTCTTCAGTTTTAATCTGCTTGATGTGATTGACGTCGTCGCTCTGCGATTCACTTCTCCTCCTTTTTGACCTCCTGGTGTTTTTTTCTTTGCATTTCTTCTCAGGAACCACCAAACCTAAACCGAGACATCTGATCAGTCAAACACTAAAGATGCAACACTTCAGTTCAGGGTTAAAATCAATTATCAATTACAACTAGGGCAGAGCTCCAGTTCTGCTTGGCCCAGTTACTGGGTGTGTTGGTGTCGGCCTCTGTATCGGCTCACTCACTGGGGGTGTTAACACATCTGTTTCTGCCTGTCCTGTGGTTTCAATTAGTAATGTCACTTGTTTCCGCTACCAGGAAAAACACACTAGTATCTTTTAAGTCAAGATTTTATTAATTGTGACTCTTTATCTGAACTAAAACCAGCTAAAGTTATCTCACAGCATTTGAGGGTTTTACTTGTTTTAAAAGGGAGATGGTGAAATGAAAAGCCATGAAGATAAATAAAGCACGATGATCAAATACCACCAGGCAGGCTGCTTTGGCCTTTTCTCCCAAGGTCTCCGTGTTGCACTAATTGCAACCAATTTGAGCAGAAGTAAATAATCATAAATGTACAGATTTAGTGCAGAAAATGGCAAACCTGCTCATTACACCACTAGTTGTGTCAATAAATCCAGCAGAATCTCAGAAAGATCAGCTAAGTAATGGGAGCAGAGAGCAAACTTGTAAATACCTGTCAACTGATATGACAGTCAGGTCAGCTGCAGGTTTTAGACGTTTGGTTGGTGTTCTTATGAGTAATGATGCACCAGAATTGTTTAAAAACACAAGCAACCACCAGATCAAGAGTCAGCTTGGCTTAATTCATGAAACAGAGTGCTGATTATAAACGTGCAGGAAAAAACATGCCTGCTAAAGCAGGACTCTGGATTCTGAGTAGACACCACAGAGGGGGAGTGATGGGGGATGCAACATGAGGAGAAGTTTCTGTAGACTCATTGTGTAATGGTCGGTGGTTGGGTGTGAGTGAATGCTGCTGGGCAGAGCTGTAATGTAGCAACCGCCTGCAGAAATCAATCACCACACTTTTTCCTTGTGAGGACGTAGCTGCACGTCTGTACTTGTAGACCAAAAAAAAACAACTGGCCAAAACTCTGTTCTCTCTGTCACTTTAAACAAACAGTTAATTACTGCTGCAGTGAGGGGCCAGGACCCAGAACAAGTCTCGTTTAGCTCTGGTTGATTAGATGTGTCGTTGCTCCATCAAAACCTCATGAACCGAGGGATGACTTCATGTGATTTAGGGCCTTTATGTGGAATCATGTCTTGGTAATATAATGTTACTGTGGTGTTTTATGACACAATAACCTGTTGGTGAGCTTCTGGTTTTCTCATCCTTGTCTGCTCGGTGTAAATGCAGCAAGTAGAAAACACTGTTGCAGACATGAGTGCATTGTGTTGTCTGACTGGGTGAAAATGGATCGGTGCAACCTGAGCGCCAAACATCCTGCTACTCTGAGTAACTTGTTTACTGCGTTATACATATATGTGTGTTGCTGAGTGTAAATTAACAGAGGAGAACCCAGTGTCTCTTGGAGGCGTCTTCCTTGAAGTTTGCTGTTTGTGCTAATGGATGCTTGCATTTATGTGGTTTCACAATACATTTATAGTGGCGAACTTAGCATTGTTTCTGTCTGCTGTTGAGCCCTTTCCAGTATTTGCATACAGTGGTATTTGGGGAAATCTGACTGGAGATCTGCAGTACAGCTGGTGGGTTTTGGGGTTTGTTTTACTGTGATGAATAACTGAATGAGGTTAACTGTGTTTAGATTTTTTGTTTGCAGCTAGTAAGTTAATAACGAATTTAAAAGAAAATCCATCTGTGGCAGCAGCGGGGCTGAATAAAGCCAGACCAGTTATTTTGCCAAGCAAAACCACTGGACGGCCTACCTGCCTGTCAGCCTACTTTTGCACACTCTGCCTGTGCACTCATTGTGCAAGCCAAGAGTCTCCCACACAGCCAAGCAGGCAGCTGCTCTGTATTTACAGACAAGGCCAGCGAGCTATGCCAGAGAAGGCACTGGCAGCAGCTTTTGTTCACAAATGGAGACCGTATTAGAGAAAGCTATAACTAAGAAGAATTTGGATGCGTAGATGTGTCTGAGTCTCACCCTGTTCGCTGATGGGGACGAGGCGATAGACCTTGTAGGGCTCTGAGATGTCCAACTGAGCTCGGTCATTCACCTCCTTGAACTCTGGACTCTTGTTGAGGGCGCAGCGCAGACGGGTCTTCCAGGAGGCCGGATTGTCCTGCACCCCGTCCGTCAACTTCCCTTTAAACTCTGCCCACGCCTATAGAGGACAAATGTTTCGTGTGTCATTTGTACAGTGTGGGTTTTGGGGAGTGAACAAATTTAGAGCCAAGAAACACATCTTGACCTTGAAGATAGCAGCGTCCTCGTCCTTGCGAAAGTCCTGTTTGCCTGCATGTTTCCATGGGATGCGGAACATGGTTTTGGCATCGTCATCCCACACCAGCCCCGGGTACTTCCCACTGCTGACCTGCAGCATCCCAACATAACCATACATTCAGGCTTGTTTGAAATAAGGAGCAGAGCACCCAAACTCTGTCAACATTAGCTGCTTCGTTCATGTGTTGCCAGCTGACCGGACACATCTAATCATGTTCATGCCTGTGTATAGCATGGCTGTTTGCTCTCCACCACCCTGACCTCCTCGTTATGTGGTATATTTTACCTTGAAGCTAATTTCTTTCCAGCCTAGAAAACAAAATCCAGTCTAACCATCAGACTTTACTGATCCCTGATAGGACATTCACCAGCTACCCAGCTGGATGTGAAGTACTTCACATTATAAGTATATGAGGTAGTTAACATTAGCTCCACCTTTACCAGCTGCTGCATTAAAGAGATGTACACAATAATTTTACTTTTGGTACTTTCAGTATATTTTTATGCTAAAACATTTTAAAAGTAGAACTTTTTAGCCTACTTGTAAAAGAGTATTTTTATACTGTGGTACTGCTACTCTTGCTTTAAACCTTCTCAGTACTTCTATCACTGCATTTTCTTATAGTCATGAATATGTCTTCAAAATGTGTAGCTTTGTCTGACCAACAGCCCGCAATCCAAAAATGTTTTCAGTCACATAAGGTAAAACAAATCCTGCATACATTCACTGTTTGTTTGGTACTTCCGTTTGAAATGATGAACTTATGACCAAATTACTTTTCTGCTCTCCCTCCGCTTCGTCTCTGAGATGATGTGCAGCTATCCTGCCTGTACGTGACGTATTGCTGCTGTAAACAGCTCGGTCAGCTGAGCCGCCTCTCTTTCCATTTCCTTCTCCCTCCTCCGTCGGTGTCTATCTGCCTCACACAAACATCTAATCACACTTTTACACACCTGCTCTACGATCCAAGAGCGCAGTCTGCGGGTTGAGCGCATTCTCCCCGCTGCCATGACTCTTTGAGGTCTAAACGCAACTCCACAGAGACACTGCCAGACACAAACAAGAACAACAATAACATCACATGCCTGTGCCTGCCTTGACATTCTATTCACACTTTGTTCATAATAATAAAAAAGTAACAAGATAATCAACTGAGAAAAGTTACATATGTTTGGTGCAAATACTGATATAGGCCTCGTGTGTGCAGTTTGAGCTTAGCCCGACTTAGTACACGAACAAAACTCGCAATAAAAAAAACACGATTTCTTAAATTAAGAATATTATAAATGGAGTCTGGTTTAAAAACAAACATCAGAAGTAGTTTCCGTTCTCGCCTGTCAGAGCGATATATTTATAAGTATATTAAATATAGACACAAATGTGTTATATTAAGGAAGCACATTTAAGTTTCGTTTACCTCAGTTACGCTACCTCCGCGTTGCCTCCGGGTTCTGCGTCTGTCACACGGACTTGGGGCACTGTGGTCTGGGCTCTGCTGCTGGTGAGGAGACGCTCCTTTTCCCAGAAATCACGTGACTTATGAAAAGCCTTCCGTGAGCTGCCGCCAGGGGGCGGCAACCGACACACACACACACACACATCAAGTAAATGTACACAACCAGAACACACGATTTTAGAGTGATATTAACGCTAGTAGCGGTGGAAGAAGTACTCCAGTTGTTTAAAGTAAAACTAGCCAAAGTGTTTAAAAAAATCTACATTCAGAGCATTACTGAAGTAAAAGTACAAGAGTATTAGCATCAAAGTATACTTAAAGGACCAAATGCATTCATTATACAGAATGGCGCATTTCACATTAATGTATCATATTGAATTATTATATTTATCACTTTTAATGTTGCAGCTGGTAAAGGTGGAGCTAATGTTAACTACTTTATATAGGCTACTTATAATGTGAATTTCTCACCAGGGGTCAATCAAGTCTTGTGATAATTCTCTGGTTTGATTTATTCATCTGATTCTGAAATACATGTAGTGCAGTAAAAAGTACAAAGTTTGAGTACAACTGAAGTGTAGGTAGGTCAAATTATGAAGTAGCACAAAATGAATATACTCAAATACAGATAATTCAGTACTGTACTTAAGTACATGTCTTTAGTTACTTTCCAATACTTTTGGAACTTTTAAAATACTCTTCCTTTGAAAAACAATCAATATTCAGGTTCCATTCAAAGATACAACCATGTATAAGTACTTGATTACAAGCCAAAATCACTGAATTAAAGTACACAAGCACAATAACAAAAGTAAAATATATATATGAATAAAGATGCTAAACACTGAGTCCATAACAATGCTGATTTAAGTGAAAAACCTTGTATTTAATTGGTACTAACAGGTGCCAGGTAACTGTAGTGGAGTAGAAGTAAAGCAGCAGAAAATGAAAATTCACAAGAACATCACAAGTACCCTAATGTAGTGAAAGTAGTTACTTTCCCCCACTACTCCTTATTGAGGGTATACCTAGATAGATGGAACAACAGAAACTCCTCTGCGACTGCATTTAGTGATGTAACATTATTTGGAAAGGCAAAACTATCAGGGATTTGGTCTATAAGAACCAACAAATGCACACTTGAAAATAATTATTTTTATTGAGTCTGATTCATCCATGCATCATATAGGAAGCAAATATAAACAATTTGACAATCTTAAACCTTTTACCCTTCAAACATCAAATATGAACTTTTTGGTTATTTAAACAATGTAATTTAGCTGATTATCACTTCGTTCTGATGTAGAACTCCAAAAAGAGGATTCAGGTGCAAGAGGTAAATCCTCAGACTGTTGGATTCCTACAAGATTCAGCTTCATACCACAAATAAATTCCTTTTAAAGCTTTATTAAAGTACGAATCGGTGTGATTTGAAGACGCACAAACATCAGAAAAATTATTTGCTCTATACTGAAACCAGGTAATCTTTATGTTCAACAGGGAAAGATTAACTTAACAATGATAACTACAGAGAATAAACATCTTTATGGATATTGTGACAAAGCAGCACAAAAATTCTGAGGTGTTTGTCAAGTTGGCATTTGGCTGAGTTAGAAGCATGAAAGGCTGGAGATAACTGGATCAGCCTCTCATCATTCAGCATGCTCGCCCAAAACCCAAATCCTTGTACAAGTGCACAGTCAATGTTTTTGAAGATGTTTCCTCTTTGAGGCCAGTGAAGTTAAAGACTCTGTTTGTTCCGAGGAACCTTTTCTCCAAGAGGAACCTCCATCAGTTTCTGTTGGGGGGGGGAAAAAGTTTTAATCTTTAAAGAAAAACGTAGTGGTGGTGTAGCTGAGAGTCTCCACGTCCTGCCCCACTGTCACTGGGGTTATCAGACTGTGTGGACAATCTTGGTTGATGCATTTTTAAAGAAAAAAAAAAACTACCCTGAAACATTAAAGTATAATGTTAAATGATATTCTAATTTTAAACCTCTTTGTAACAAAGTCCATTTTTGAGAGCAGCATTTAAAATCAGTTCTTTCAAGTTCTGTTTGGAAAGGCAGTACAAATAAAGTTGGTATGTGAGCCAACATTATAATGACAAGGTTTACTATATTAGCTTTACTGATAAATAATACAGTGATACTTCCTTGTGTCATAATGAGCCGACCTTTATACACAAGACACAACAGAGCGCGAGTCATCAGGGTTTCGGGTGGAGTGAGAGGAATGCACTCAATGGTAGACTGAACAATATCTTTGAGAAGTATTAGAACAGGAGGTGTTTCTCTAGTTCTCTATGGGGAGAAAAGTTTCCCACACATAGTCTTTTCTTTCTGCTTTCTTTTAAAGGAGTTGTGAAACTACAAAGCTGCTCAGCCAAATTACACTGCTCAAAAAGTATCTTGAAGTGCTGCTGGAGTTATGACCTCACCGGCATCCTCGCTGCCACTTTGGCAAGTTAAACCATTGACCCTGCACCTCACAAATCTAGTCCCACCCTCGCTCACTTCAGGCCAACAATCCTTTCCCAGAAAATATCACTGACTCAAATTGGAGGCAGGCCTTAACTTATTTTCCCACTCAGCAGCTCGTAGTTGGGGTTTAAACAATATGAATGAACAGTAGGGTGTCACCTTGAGTAGCCGAGCATGGTAAGCGTTATCATCCTCGTTGTCTCCTCGCTGCACGTCCACCTGGTATCTCTCACAGGCTCGAATAAGGTCTTTGGCTTCGTACAGCGGAGCCGGGTCCAGAGAGTGAGCGTTTATCAAACTGACCAGGTACTCCCTGTAGTGCTTGCTGCAAAAACAAACACACTTGTTACAGTATTAAAAATGTTTTAAAAGACTGCTAAAGGATGTGACACATGCTTCCTGGAAACCATGCAATGTGTCCATCTGCTTGCAAACCGAGTCCCCAGGAGGGTCAGTGGCCACTCCACCTAGGTGTGAAGGAGATTGGTCTGTTCTGCCAGCCAAACAACTTTTTCTATCCTATAGTTGCTGCCAAAAGATGAGGCAGACACTCACTCGCAGAGTCCAGCTTGTCCTGGCTGTGTTGCGATGCCACATGGTGAGTCAATCTGCTGACCTCCATCTTTCTGCTCCATCACAACGCAAGCCTCTGTTTCAGAGAAGACAAAACAAACCCGTTTTCCCCAACAGAAGCAACAAAGGCAGATTTAAATGTGGTTTTCAGAGAAAGTTTGGAGGAGGCATCACAGACTTTGTGTCTTCTTTAAAACACATGGTTAAGTCTCCGCTAATAATCAGATCAGGAAACTGGCTCTAGGTAACCTGAACTTAAATTTGATGTCTAACATTTGTCTGAATTCCAGGTTTCCCAGGATGTGTTTTAAACTGTGGTCAGTTACTGGAATGTCAAATTTTGACTGTGTGCTTTCTGAACATGATGAAACAGTTGGACAGGAAGGAAATGGATATTTTCAGCTGCTGTTTTACCAGTTTGAGTTCCATTGGAAGGATCTGTGTTGAACTCCACACCATTCCTCTGAAAAGGAGAAAAGGGAAATGAAAGATAAGATGTACATTTAGACTGAGGGTCACCGATCAGTAGCTGTAGGACAGCACAGCAGGGTGTGTGTCCAGTGATACGATAACTGCGATTAGAATCAAAGTGTTTCTAAAATTATACGTGCCGTGCCGTGCAGTTTTCTGCATACCTCACGTCTGTTCACGCTACAGATCACAGGTTGACAGTTCTTAGTTGCCAACACGAGTTCATGTTTAAAGGAAGTGTGTTTGGGAGTTATCTCGCTTTTGTTATGTGACAAAACCAGTATTTTTGAAGCAGGATGTGACAACAGGAAGAAGGCTGGAAAACTGGGTGTGTTGACAACGAAACAGGTAGAAGCTAAATATTTTTGTCATCAAGGAAACCCCATAAATATTGTTCTACAAAAAGAGAACAATGTAAAAGCTAGAACTAAAACATTTAGTCTATTAATCAATCATAATTATTAATAACCTGCAACTATTTAGATAATTTCTCCAACAAAAACATTTAATTGATTTTAATAATGGGACTTTTTTTTTCCTTTTGTTTTAAGGAAATGGTAATCACTACTTTTTAAGACCTCCATACCCTGTCATATATGATAATAAATAAAAAATGCTTGGTATTAGACTAATGTTCAGACAAGCAAATCAATTATGTTACCTCTGACGAATTATACAGGGGAATTTTCACTAGTTTCTGTCATTTTATGTTAAATGAATCAAGAAAATAACCGTTGCAGAATACAGCGCTTACTTGCAGCAGAGCCTGTAGTTTGGCTGGCTCCCAGTCTCTGAGATAGAAGAGACAGTCACGGGGGTGATGTGCATGCATCCCAGGGCAAACGCACTGGGGTGTCTTGCATCCTGTCTGCAAAATTAACACAATACAAATATATGAGGCAGAGCAAGATTTGGTAAGCTCCAAAAGACAAACAAACAAAAACTTAAAATTCTACTAATAATTTTACAAATGATGAAATGGAATGTGAGGATTTGCCGAGGAGGACACTGAAAGACTAGAAGCTTTTGGACAGTGAGCAAAGCCCTACTGATGTTTAAATTTTAGATCAACACTTAACTGAGCTAAAGCTAATCTGCCTCCAGAAGTGGGTCGGCACATCTGACTGTCCCCTTTGCTGACTCAGTTTATGTGTGTCATTCATAACCATGTACTTTGCTAAGAATAATCAATAATTGCTATCAGTTGCTGATATTTCTATAGCACATGAAACAGGTGAAGGCCTACTGTAAAAGCCTGTATTTTGGTCATATGGAGGCTCAAAGTGTGACCTGTTTCTTGACAATGTTACCTTGTGGTAGGGGTTGTTGCAGCCGCTGCAGAACTGGTACCTGCATTGGGAGCAGCTGAAGTGCATGCAGCCACCTTTCGCCAGTGCGTACTGGAACCTGCAGTGAGGACAGGCTGCAAGAGGGGACACGCAAGTTTTGTTTAGGGATTACTGAAAACTACATGAGGTCGGATGGTCAAATCCAAAAGCTTCCACAGAACGGACAAGTCAAGATTTTCCATCTTTGAAAATTCCTCTTTCCACCACATGGAAATGCAGTTTTCTAATGTAAGATATAAGATTATTTAGTGATTAAAAGTACCACAGGTAATCATCACATACAAGAGTGATATGATTAGGGCTGCTACTATCTTTGTACCTGTCGCTACTGATCTATGGATAATTTACTCAGTCTTCTAAAGTCCAAGGTAAGGCCCTCAGTTTGCTTGCCAAAAAGCTATAATCAGTTTACTATTACAGAAAACAGAGTAAAGCCGTAATCTGAAGCTGGAACAAGAGAAATACTTGTCATTTTCTGATCAATTTATCTCTTAGGCTGTCGAATGATTTCAGCTCTATATACAATTGTTGATTTATAACTTTTGAGCACATTTTAATGTCGATCTGGTCGAGATGAAGCAAAACTAAATCTTTTTTTTTCTTTAACATTGGCAAAAAAAAGATGAGTTAAACTTTTGCTCGCTGTGTTCGTGAGTCAGCTCAGTAATGACAAATGAGGGAAGGGCATTAATAAACACTGTGGTGAGGCTGACTGGTGTTTAAACAAAGCTCGAGGAATGAGGTGAAAGACTGAAATGAAACTTGTGTTTGAGTTTGTGGCAAGCCTCACTGATGCCATTGTCTCTCAGGTAGCCAGCCAGGCCCTGCCGCTGGTATTCTGGGTCGTTCTCCCTCTTCCACTGCTGGAACTGCTCGCAGGACAGATCCTGGTGCTGAGCCTCCCACTGAGGGTGGGTTCACCAAAATGTCAAGGATGAATATAAAAACTGGATAAGAACTCGTTATTTTTATCACAGGAGAGATAAGGTGGAGAACTCCATAAAATATGGCATGAATACTTACAGGTTTCTTGCACTGAGCACAGAAAGTTTTCCTGCAAGACGGGCATGTGACCTTCAGCTGGTCTCCGTCATTGATAAACCCAGAGGTGCACTGGGGAAGGCAGAACCGGGGGCAGGTCAATTAATTATGCATCACAAACACATTCCAGCAAAGTCGTTCTTTTATTTATCTGTAATTCTCCTTTAGATATTTTTCCACATTGGTTAAAAGGTGTTGCTTTTTCATGTTCACTCTCTTTTTAAAGGTGAATAAAAAGAAGTGCATAAAGGAGGAGAAATGTATAAAAAGGAAAAATAATGGTGTCCACCAGGAAATCAGATGAGTGAGCTGATAGTGTTAGAGGGAAAGAAGGGTGGACTTTTTTAAAATTCTGGGAAAAACTCACATGACAGCACCACAGGAACTTTGGGTCTTTCATCAGAGCATGTTCAGTCAGCTTTTTGTGAAAGAGCTCCAACACATCCAGCTCCAGGCAGGTCCGCAGCTGGAATAACAAAGCATGAAATGTTATCGCTCTAACCTTCATTATATGTTGCTGTTATCTCATCTTTCATTTTGTTACTTGCTCCCAGTAATGTTAGATTTTAAGTCATTGGTGATTTTGAACTTTCCCTATGTCTACTAACTTCAGTGTGTGGGTCTATAGGTTCAGCAAAGCATCATCTGTAGTTTACAAAATTTAAAAAGGTATAATGCTTTCAGACATATCTGTGTAAGAGCCCTCACACTCTTGATGGGTTTAAAATATTCACCGTCATGTTAACGGAATACTTTGACAATCAGCACAAATGTGCCCCTGTTCACTGACTTTTTCCTTAGCTTTACAGTGAGACTAGAGAACCTTTGAAAGAAGAAACAGTATAACCTTATTGATACAAACAAAAACTTGAATTCCAGAAGAAATAAAGCACACGTTTTCTCGGCTCTAACCACGCTACTGTAAGATATGGTTCGTATTACCATTGCTAACTCTAAGAGACGAGACAGTCCAAGTAACTTCAGAACAGTGCTGATTTATTCAAAGGATAACAGGTAAAATTAACATTACACGCTCAGGTATCTTGCACCTCCAAACTGCATGCAGGCAGAAGTAAGATGAAAGCCCCCGAGCCCACCAGGCCTATACATTATATCCCCTCGGTTGGGCTAGCCCCATACTACACAGAAACGTCAACCGAGACGTCTCTGTTGCCAGCTCTGCAGCTGGCCATAGCAGTAGTCAAAACATGAAGCAAATCAATGTGTGAATGTGTGTGTCTGTTGGTTAAGTGGTGTGTAGCTAAAAACATTCTCACGACCTCTAGTACATGTCGTGACTTAAACATAAGAACATATTATGGCTAAGGCTACAGTTATACACGTCATAATAATAATATTAAACCCCCTGTCTGCTGACAGTCATCAACTCTTCTCTCTAGTTATCCTTGCCCAGATGTACCCTGTAGAAACTCATAAGCATGCCTAAGCATTTAACAGTCTAACTAGACATCCTATCTCTACTAAACATTTCTAATACATAAAGTATCTATTCAATATCTATCTGACTAAAAATACCTAACACTACTGTTTGGCTGCTACAGCCTTAGTTATTGGCCTGTTATGACCAGTAGCTTAGGGAGGCTAATGTGTCCCTATCAAAACAATATGAGGACCTCACTGGTGTTACTGTTAGACTATGTTTTAGCATTTACTATTATTATGCATAGTCTCATGTTAAATGGAAAATAATGGCACCAATAACCTGCTGTGCTTCTCATGTGCAGTGTTTAAAGGCTTTCAAAAAAAAAAAAAAAAGAATTAAGGTAAAAAGCTCTATTTCATGTTACATGTGAAAGAAGTAAGAATTAATCCTTTAGTCCTGTTCAAAGCTAAATTTTCAGAGGACCAGTTTTCAGTGAAGTAACCAATCAGAACAACTTGCAACAAAACAATCATTTGACCATGCTGCTACCTGTATGTCCAGTGTGGAGAAGTAGCTGTCCAGCTGTTCAGGGTCGTTGATGTCTGGCTCACCGCACACGGGACAGACCATATCTCTGATGTGTTTGTCCCTCACGGCGATAGTGAAGTGCTGCCCAAAGCACTCGTGGCACACTGAGCACTGACAGGAGGTCAGAGACTGCATCTGCAGCACAGAAGACAAACATAATAAACTATTAGCTGTGCATTTACAGTTTAACTCTGTGGATGAGCGCAAGAAGCGATGCATTTAACTGAAAACAAGTATGTGTAGTCTATAAACTGTCAGGATATAGTAAAAATTGTGCATCACAATTGATCAAAGCCTGAGGTGATATCCTCAAATTGCTCTAACACCCTAGTAGTGGCCAGTCTGACCCACCTTGCTGTGGGGGAAGATGGACAGACAGCAGGGACACTCGTTGTTGAGCAGACGCCTGATGAAGTCTTTGTCATGCGACTCCTTCACAGCTTGCACTACATCCTCCAGGGAGTAGTTGACACCTGGCTCCTGGAGCAAAGACAACACGAGCTCACAGCGCCCCCAGCTGGGCAGTTCGTACAACGCCAGCAGACGCCTGCACATCCTCTGGGGGGGGGGGCAAACAAGGAAATGAATACTAACTGGAAACAAAACACCACACCCCAAATATAGTGGCTGCTGTTTTTATGAAAACACATCCTGCCTGCGTCAGCACAGATTCAATTTAGACACTAAAAAGCCTCAGCTAACTTGTGGCACTAACCTGTTTGTCTGGGTGTTTGGGATCAATCGGAGGCTCGGGCTGGTCGGTCCAGATCCGCTGGTGGAAGGGCTCAAGGAGAGGCCGCTGAAGCAGAGACAAAGCACCTTTCACCTCACCTCCGCTCAGCCGCAAGGCCTCCTCACACTGTGCCACGTCACAGAAACCCAGAGAGTGAAGTTCCTTCATCTAAGCACAAACGCACAACAGGGAGAGAAATCATGAAGTGGAATGAAATTTATTGGATATTTCAAACTTTTTTAACAAATAAAAAACTGAAAAATTGGGCGTGCAAAATTATTCAGCCCCCTTAAGTTAATACTTTGTAGCGCCACCTTTTGCTGCGATTACAGCTGTAAGTCGCTTGGGGTATGTCTATCAGTTTTGCACATCGAGAGACTGAAATTTTTGCCCATTCCTCCTTGCAAAACAGCTCGAGCTCAGTGAGGTTGGATGGAGAGCGTTTGTGAACAGCAGTTTTCAGTTCTTTCCACAGATTCTTGATTGGATTCAGGTCTGGACTTTGACTTGGCCATTCTAACACCTGGATATGTTTATTTGTGAACCATTCCATTGTAGATTTTGCTTTATGTTTTGGATCATTGTCTTGTTGGAAGACAAATCTCCGTCCCAGTCTCAGGTCTTTTGCAGACTCCATCAGGTTTCCTTCCAGAATGGTCCTGTATTTGGCTCCATCCATCTTCCCATCAATTTTAACCATCTTCCCTGTCCCTGCTGAAGAAAAGCAGGCCCAAACCATGATGCTGCCACCACCATGTTTGACAGTGGGGATGGTGTGTTCAGGGTGATGAGCTGTGTTGCTTTTACGCCAAACATAACGTTTTGCATTGTTGCCAAAAAGTTCGATTTTGGTTTCATCTGACCAGAGCACCTTCTTCCACATGTTTGGTGTGTCTCCCAGGTGGCTTGTGGCAAACTTTAAATGACACTTTTTATGGATATCTTTAAGAAATGGCTTTCTTCTTGCCACTCTTCCATAAAGGCCAGATTTGTGCAGTATACGACTGATTGTTGTCCTATGGACAGAGTCTCCCACCTCAGCTGTAGATCTCTGCAGTTCATCCAGAGTGATCATGGGCCTCTTGGCTGCCTCTCTGATCAGTCTTCTCCTTGTATGAGCTGAAAGTTTAGAGGGACGGCCAGGTCTTGGTAGATTTGCAGTGGTCTGATACTCCTTCCATTTCAATATTATCGCTTGCACAGTGCTCCTTGGGATGTTTAAAGCTTGGGAAATCTTTTTGTATCCAAATCCGGCTTTAAACTTCTCCACAACAGTATCTCGGACCTGCCTGGTGTGTTCCTTGTTCTTCATGATGCTCTCTGTGCTTTAAACGGACCTCTGAGACTATCACAGTGCAGGTGCATTTATACGGAGACTTGATTCCACACAGGTGGATTCTATTTATCATCATTAGTTATTTAGGTCAACATTGGATCATTCAGAGATCCTCACTGAACTTCTGGAGAGAGTTTGCTGCACTGAAAGTAAAGGGGCTGAATAATTTTGCATGCCCAATTTTTCAGTTTTTTATTTGTTAAAAACGTTTGAAATATCCAATAAATTTCGTTCCACTTCATGATTGTGTCCCACTTGTTGTTGATTCTTCACAAAAAATTACAGTTTTATATCTTTATGTTTGAAGCCTGAAATGTGGCAAAAGGTCGCAAAGTTCAAGGGGGCCGAATACTTTCGCAAGGCACTGTAATTCATCCAAGCACCAAACATATCCCGTTAATGATGCTAGTTAAGCACCTAGAATGAAAAGATAACGTTATTCTGAATGAACTGTGTCTAATGATGAGTTCCTACCTTGACCTGTCGGTCTCTCAGCAGCTGTCTCACTGCTCTGTCGGTGTCTCCTCCTGCTGCCAACCAGGCCAGCTTGGCCTCAGCTCTGGACAGCTTCACACCTTCACCTGTGGAGTTTGGGCAGCTCAGCTCTGACTCCTCCCCATCTCTCTCTGTCCCAGAATCCTCTGCTTTGTAGTTTAGCTGCACAGAGGCTGCCATGGCGCAGATCTCGTCCAGGAGATGAGGCAGCTCTGATGTCAGCCAATCACAGGGGTTGATGTCGCTTCCGCTGCACATGCACAGGGCTGCATACACCTCCTCTGGGCTGACCCCACGCTTTTCTGCTTCCTAGGAGGGAGGAACTAGGTGAGTGTTTTATGTAAGATGACACTATAATGCTTTCTGTGTAACAATAATTGTATAAGTCACTTAAAAAAAAAACAAAAAAAACAAAGCATTTCTGAGTTGAAGGTTTTTAGCGGTAAGGGCTTGCATTGTTGTGGCTTATGTATTATTATACTGATTATCATTTAGTTTTGGGCTCAAGATTTCAATGGGCAATTTTCACTATTTTCTGGCACTTTATAGACAAGACCATTAATCAAGAAAAAAATCTGCAGGTCAATCTGTGATGACACCAACTGCTAGCTGCAGCTCCACTTCCTGTGCTCAGTCTGGTGCTTATTGTAGGATCTCTCAGCACCACAACCAGAGCTGGACCTCCAAATAACCTTGCCTCCCTCCACAGATGTGGAGTAATCTGCACTCCTTAACACACATTTCACATTCCAGACTGTCTCTCAGTGGAAACAAGTTTTTATTGTGTTCCCTTTAAGTGCCAGCCAAATTGCATTTCCAATAATAATTTGAGAAAATAATCTGCAGATGTTCCAGAGGCCACTGTTTCTCTTAATAACAGTTGAGCTGCGCAACAGATCCAGGCACAACCCCGAGTTAACTTGTCTGAGTTCTGATAACAGCCCACAGCTTCCCTGCTAGTTTTTATAAGAGGAAATAGTGCTTGGATGTTTTCATGGTCTAAAGTGTGTGAGACTTTTCAGACGACGACCTACTCTTATCTGCTGGATGAGGGTGAGTCCATCTTCCCTCATCGTCTTCTGTCTCTTCAGCTGCTGGTTGACTCTGGGCTTCGGCTTTGGCTTCTCACCAGGCTGCGGCTGGAGAGGCTGGGGCTGACAATCACCAGCAGAGTCTTTACAGGACAAGTTGCACATTTCACACACCACAGTGGGCTTGATGTTTACAAAGGTGCAGAACTGGCAGGTCCACTGTAAAACAAAAAAATTATACATATTGTGTAGAAAACACTTAACATAAAAGATGCCTTAAATAAATGTATACGACATTTTAAGAGTGATTTGTCAGCCACAGCAGTGCAAAAATCATCCATAGTTTGCTCATATGCACACTTAAATAC